TTGGATCCAGACTCGACATTGGACTTCAGACATTTTGAAGAGGGATTATTTGGGACTTGTAACGAGACTTGGTGTTGACGACCTTCCCATCTCCCCATTCCTCTTCTTCGTCTGATCCCCTCCTCTTCGTCTGTGTATGGTTGGACCTCGCGCCTCCTTCCTGTGTATAGCGCCAGGCCCATCACACCTTGTGATGAACATGATGTATGTTTGGTCTGTGTTGAAACATTGAGTGGGCTAGTCCTTAGTATTCTAGCATTCTGTTTTGCTATCTTATACTACGTGAAAGAGGTCAATCCCGGTGAGGTAAGAACTTGTATCCAAATCTTCCAATGCGCTATAAAACACCATTTTGTATATATCGGAATGCAAATTGATTGTTGAGATTCCACTTGCACTGCATTGTCCATTTAGTCCTTTTTATCACATTGCGGATCCTCGGTTTATATGTACATCGCCCAACTGGGCATGTAACAGTTGGTATCGAAACACCGCACGTGATTTAGGACAACCTAATTTGACACGTGTGCTGGGATTTGGTAGCTGATTAGTCTTGATTGATTGATTAGAGCACACTAGTTCGCCCCCAAAATCACGATTTTGACCTCACTGCCGAAAATCGAAATTTTTTTCTTTTCTTGGATTTCGTTTTCTCGCCATTTCTGTTGTGGAAAATCGCAATAGCGCAACATCTGAAATTTTCGTTTTCGTTTTTCTTCTGAAAATCCGAAATTTCGTTGTTGGAACTCCGGAATATCTTTTCTCGAAAATTTCGATCTCCTTTTGGAATGTCCCGTTATTTGGAAATTCAGAATATTTTTTTTCTGAAAGTCGTTTTTTTGAAAACGGTATGGGAAATCCCTCTTGCAGTACCATTTTCCAAATTGCGAATACTCTCATCTGAGCAAGTCCGAATACTGGGTATTTCTTTTCGGAATTTTTTATTATTCGCAGTTCTATGATTTTCACTACCTGATAATCATTGGCATTCGGAAGTTCGATTTTTTTTTTCTCATGGAGGCTTTCGTACTTCAAGGGAGGTTGGGAGACCTACTGAACTTGCAAAACTCGGGATTTTTATTTTCTCAATTTTTTTTCCGCAAAGTTCAAACTTTTTTTTTTTTTATTAGTGGCTCCTTATCTGGGCGAGTTATCCCCACGCACCCCTCCCCACCTATGTTGTTGCCACCTCTGGTCTTACCTTCTCTATTTGTCTCCGGGTACCCCTTGCGGCGGCATTGGTGAGTTGCCACGTCAGCAGACCACGCCAGCAGGCCACGTCAACAGGACACGTCAGCGGGACACTTCAGCAGGACACGTCAGCAGCCACGTCAGCAGCAGGGAGTGCCACGTCAGCAAGCCCCAGCCTGATCTATGCTTACACGCTTGAAAACAACCGTCATGGACCAGATGTTCAGGGAAACGGACGAGGCCTATCAGGCCCGGATGTTGCTTCTGCTTACCGAAGCTAAGCAACGGTCGGATGCAGTAGCAGCCGCAACAAAGAAGAAGGCAGAGGACGCCGAGAAGGCACGTCTGTTGGCAATTGAACAGCAGCACCTACAAGACGAGGCAGCAGCAAAGGCTGCCGATGAAGAACGACTTCAACACCGCGAGAAGATATTCAGCGGAGAGCGAGCTTTGCTCACATTGGCAGCGGACTGGCGGGCCGAGGCCAAAAATGGCAATCTGGAAGAGAGTGGAAATAAGATAACTCTCCTCCTTGAGCATCTCACGGACCTCCTGGCCACGTGCATTGCACAACAGGAGGACATTCACAACCGCGACGACGCGGTTCAGAGACACAATCAGGTGTTTGACCAATTCACTAGCCACCTACAGCAGCTGGAACAAATCGCCGCCGCCCCTGTTGCCAGCTCTTCCAACATCTCCGATCGCCTTGAGGCATTGGAGCTTGACGTCGGATCCCTCAAGGATGGCGTGCAGTTACAGCAAACCGCAACACAACAGTTGGAGCAGTGAATCTGTACTGCCGCCAACCACTCGAGCTCGAAATCGCGCGAGACAACTCCAAAGTTCGATGGGCAGGAGATCCTCTGTGACTCGACGAAGACAAATCCGATTTCATGGTTCCGCAAGTTCGAGCTCACACTGCAGCTACACTACTTCAAAGAACACAAGCACCACGGTACTTGTACTCCCGGTCGGGGGGTGCATGCCAAGCATGGTTGGACAATCTCTTGTCCAAGTACGGAGTGGTAGCTGCCGACTTGCACACTAAGATCAGTTGGGATGATTTGAAGGCGGCATGGCATAAGCGATTCCAAGTAGAGCCGCTAGAGATCAAGGCAATGGACAAGCTGATGGTCTTCGAACAAGGCACACTGCCGAGTGTTGACTGGATTGCCGAGTACCAACGCTTGACATCCGTCCCAGACATCCAAATGGACTTCAAAGCCATTTAACACTACTTCATCTCACGGTCGTGTCCGACGTTGGGGAATGCCTTGACTCACGCCGAGGACACCCTGACGACACCAACATAACTTTTTGACAAGGCCGCGCAGATTATTGTCACGAACAAGGAGGCCAAGAATCTCCCGTGTTCGTTTGCGCCAGGCCTAGGCAGAGATCAACATCGGCCGAAAGTGGTCGTGGTCGTGGTGGCAACGCCAAACGACCAAACTAGCGAGGTCGTGTCTGCCAATGAAGGGGACAGACTCGCAACCGCCCAGGAAGGTGGTCGCCCCGGCAAAGGCCAAGGACGTGGCAAAACGAAGACAAACACCGCATCTAGACTCGGGTCCGACGCAACAGCTCCAGCCCCATGGACGACTTCGGTCTCTCCGAAACGGCGTACAAAGCACGCACCAAATTCCACTATTGCCTCGGGTGCAACAACGATCTCCATGAGACAGTGGCCTACCAGTCGGAAGGCAAAGGCAAATCGGGAAATTGAGCACCGTCGGGAGTGACTCGACGACACTCTCGACGCCTTTGGAACCGGTCACTTCGGGGGTGACCGCCCTTCGTTTCAGGGCACATGCGAAAGTTGATAGTCCTCTTCTTTATTCTTTTGAGGACTATGTTGTCTGGCTCGTTCCTACGTTGGGTACTCAAGCTCAAGGACAAGACGTGTGTGCGGTATCTTCTCCGTCCGGCCACGACAACTTATCGTCTTCAAGTGGTTCTTCACGGGATTCGATACGCGAATTCAACATAGAGGTATTGGACCCGCTCCTGTCCGGGGATTTCGCATGGCTTCCTCTCCCATCCACGGGCCGCTTGTCGGGACCGCAATGCGCAACACTATCCGCTCATCTGCACATGTACTTATCCTTCTATGCACCACCAACTTCGCCGACGGATGACGAAGTCGCGGTGGGGGACATCCTTGCGTATGTTACCAAGGTGGCTCGTGAGTTTCGCAATTAGCGGTACGACGACAACAACGCACCGCTCCTCTATGTCCGCATCCAAGCTGGGCAAGCATCCTGCAACGCTTTGCTGGATAGCGGCGCGTCTCGCAATTTTATGAGCCAAGCCTTTATGCAAAGGGCTGGCTTTGGTGCACAAGTTCGAAGGAAGGCAAACCCGACGACGATCAAGTTGGCGGACGGAAGGACGCAACAACTTATAGACCGCTACATCGAGGCCATACCGGTGTATTTCGCACCTCGCAAGCGAACCAGTGACGTTCGACATTTTGAACACGGACTTCGACATTATTTTGGGAATGCCTTGGCTTGCAAGTGCAAATCACACGGTCAACTTCCACCGATGGACTCTTACCTTTCGCAACGCCTTCGGCGCCAAAGTGTCGTGTACTGTTCCTCTTCCGCACCCTTCGATTCGGTGGCAAGTGGTGACGGCCAAGTCATTCCGGGCTACTTGTGCTTACGAGCAGCTCGACAAAATCGGCCTATGTTTCCTACGGACCGTCGCGGTAGCCGACTCTTCACCCACAGACTTGTCTTCGGAGCCCCGTGTGGTACGGTTGCTTGACGAGTTCTCCGACATCTTCGAGTCACCTACTGGTGTGGTGCCGGATTGGTCGATCTCTCACGAGATCATTCTTGAGGCCGGTGTCGTGCCGCAGAAAGGTTGCATTTATCTTATGAGCGAGGAGGAGCTTACGGTCCTCCGCACGCAACTCGATGATTTGTTGGACAAGGGCTGGATCTGCCCTAGTAGCTCTCCATATGGAGGGTCAGTTCTCTTCGTACGGAAGAAGAACAAAGATCTACGATTGTGCATCGACTACCACAAGCTCAATGCGCAAACCGTCAAGAATGCGGGGCTTCTTCATCAATCGACGATCTTCTTGAGCGATTGGGCGGCGCAAAGTATTTTTCTAAGTTGGATTTGAAGCCGGGATATCATCAAATCTCGATCTGACCGAACGATCATTACAAATTCGCGTTCAAGACGCGGTATGGGCATTTTGAGTGGGTGGTCATGCCTTTTGGCCTCACCAACGCCCCAGCGACCTTTCAAGCGACAATGACCAGCGAGTTCCGTGCAATGTTGGACCGGTTCGTGCTGGTCTACTTAGACGATATTCTCGTCTATAGCCGGTTATTGGCAGATCATCTTTGAGCACCTTCGACGAGTGTTGGAGACGCTCTGCGGCGCCAAGTACAAGGCCAACCGCGACAAGTGCGAATTTGTCCGGCAAGAGCTGGAATACTTGGGSCATTTTGTCACAACAGAGGGCATCAGTCTGCTATCGGACAAGATTCAAGCCATCCAAGAGTGGCCGGAGCCACGGAACGTCACGGCTGTCCGTTCGTTCCTTGGCCTCGCCGGCTACTACGAACGTTTGATCAAAGGCTACTCGAAGATTGCTGCCCACTTGACCAAGCTTCAATGCGAGGATCGACCATTTGACTTCGGAGAGGATGCACGGGAATCATTTTTGGCTCTTAAAGCAGCGCTATTATCTGCGGAGGTATTGAGCATATACGACCCGCTTTCGCCCACGCGCGTGACTATGGATGCATCTGGCTATGGCGTCGTCCTCGAACAACACGATGGCGTGGACTGGCACCCGGTCGAGTATTTCAGCAAGAAAGTGCCCATCGTGCACTCCATTGACGATGCACGCAAGAAGGAGCTCCTCGACTTCGTCCACGCGCTCAAGCGGTGGCGGCACTTCCTCCTTGGTCGAAGCCAATTCCAATGGGTAACGAACAACAATCCGTTGGTCTTTTACAAGATCCAAGACACCGTCAACAACACCATCGCTCGATGTATGACTTTCATCGACCAGTTCGACTTCTTTCCCGATCACATTCCGGGGAAGTCGAACCGTTTTGCGGATGCTCTTGCACGGTGTCCGGATCATTGTACCGTGGTCTATTCAACCTTCGAGATCGACAACGACCTATGGGACAGCTTCATCCGCGGCTACCAAGTTGACCCCGAGTTTTGGGACAAGTATGCGAATTGCTCCTCTCCTAATCCGACGCCTTCTCACTACTGGATCCAAGAGGGGTACTTGCTTGTCCACACACGGGGGAAGGACCTTCTTTGTGTACCGAGTGACCCTCACTTGCGTACACGGCTTCTTGGCGAGTTCTACGATGCTCCCGCCACCGGACACTTTGAAGTCAATCGCACGATTGGCCGACTTCGCTAGCTATTTTAGTGGCCCGGCCTTCTCGGCTACGTCACACGCTATTGCGAGTCATGCGAGGTTTCCCGACGCTGCAAATCCCGCAATCATCGTCCATACGGCAAGTTGTGACCATTACCGGTCCCCTTACGGCGAAGGGAAGCGATTGCCATGGACATTACCTGCCCATTCCCCAAGCACAAGACCGGCGTGGATGGGATTCTCACGGTGGTCGACCGACTCACCAAGTTCGCCATGTTTTTGCCTTGCCGCTATCATGCCAAAGCACCGGAGTTGGCCGAAGTTCTTTACGCCGGTTGGATTCGAACCAAGGGTTACCCCAAGGAAATCGTCTGCGACCGCGACACTCGGTTCATCTCCGATTTTTGGTTGGCGCTCATCAAACGTTGGGGCTCGTCTCTCAAGCCAAGTTCAGCTCGCCACGCCCCAACCGATGGCCAAACGGAGAGGGCACATCAGACTGCACTGATTCTCCTTCGCACTCTTATCCGCCCCGACCAAAAGGATTGGGTTCAGCGGCTGCCGGATATAGAGTTGGCATACAACTCGTCCATCCACCCGGTTATCGGGATGTCGCCCTTCGAGTTCGAGCACGGCTCACCGGTCACTTCGTCGTTGGACACAATCATTCCACGAACGGCTGAGAGCAACGACCATCTTCTTTTCTTGCGTCGAATGCAAGAGCTACTTGTCAAGGCACGCGACCAGATGGCCAAGACGAAGCAACGCATGAGCCAGCAGGCCAATCGCCAGCGTCTTCCTTGCCCATTCCGCATCGGCGATCTCGTTTGGGTTTCCACCGCATAATTAAGCCTTGAACAAGATATCTCTCACAAGCTCCTCCCGAAATGGATGGGGCCCTGGACGATCGTGGCACCCGCTGGGGATGCACCCGAGGGACCTTCCTTCACTATTCAGGTGCCCGCCCACTTGCCCGTCTACCCAGTCTTTCATTGCTCCAAGTTGACTCTTTACACGCCAATGGAACATGACAATTTTCCCGAGCGATGTTCGCAAGACCCACCCTCTATGGATGGTTTTCAGGAGGTCGGCGACATCATCTCCCAGCGACGCTATGGCAACAGGCCAACCGAGAACTTGGTACATTTTGCGTACTGCACTCACAAAGCTGACCGTTGGTTGACCAGTGCGGAACTCCAAGCAACAGCTCCGGATGTTCTCGCACGCTATGACCGCAAAATGCAAGGCAGCCGGTATCTTCGGCCCCACATCGCACCTGCGTCCAGGTTCCACCTTCAGATCGTCAGCTTCGGCCTCGACCCGGCTTGACTTCATAAGGAGCGGGGGGTGTTACATGCTGCGCCTGCAACAGGCTGCACAGGCCATTTCCAGGCCCGTGACGTTTTCAGGCCAAAAGCCTGAAAACAAGGGCCTACAGGCCCTGTGTCGTTTCAGGCTAAATCAGGGCCTTTCCGGCCCTGAGTGTTTTCAGCCTGCAACTGAGGGCCATTTTCGGGCCCTCATCGGTTCGACCTAACCTGAAACTCAGGCAACAAACCAGGGTTTTAGCACAGGCCATTTCGGGCCTGTTTTCAAGGCAACCCCTGGTTGAGCTTCAACGCCATGGTCTGGCACGTTTCGGCATTGGCAAGAGCAGCCTCCTGGATGGGCCAGCACTATATAGGACTGGCCCGCCCTGCAGGCAGGCAGGGAGTTCCTAGGTACTTCCCAGGCACTTCATGTGCAGTTCAGGAGGCAGGAGGTAGTCTTCAAGATTCGGCAGCAGCACACTGGAGGAGCGCTGCAGGAGTAGCAGCAGCGTTAGCAGTAGTCTTCAGCGCTGGGCGCTAGTAGCGTTAGCTGTAGTCTTCAGCGCTGGGTGCCATAGCAGCTAGCGTAGTACTAGAGAGAGAGAGATTGGGCGGAGGCCAGAGGGACTTACCTGCAGTGCCGTTGCTCCAGCTTCGTCTTCGAGGTACCTGCAGCACAGTGCCATCTTCACAGGTTAGTACCTGGCATATGAGAGAGAGAGTTCTTCTTCTTCCTCTTCTCAGTCCACCATCTCCTTCTCACCCTCTCGCTATCCGACTTCACTGCATCAGCAGACTACGAGAGAGAGAGAGAGAGAGAGAGAGAGAGAGAGA